TGGCATTTCAACTATGCAACAGCTCTGTACAATGCCGCTTTACAACGATTTAGAAAGATTAATGCAGAAAACGAGGTCATCTTAGCTGATCGTTTTGATTATATACAGAAACAACTGCAACAATTAGAAACGGGCCTCCTTAAGACAGCATCTAAAGTCAACAAGGAACCCCTTAGCAAGAGCGGGGAAAGATACAAACATGTTTTAGGAGGTATTCGAAAATATTCAAATGAGGCAATACATGATATTCACACGAAAGACATGTTGATAGACTCTGTGACGTTCGAGATGAATGAAGAATGCCAAAGAAGAACGATCGAAAAAAGTAAATGTTTCTATGATACTCTGACGAGCAAGATCATAGAATTACACAAACTCATGATAGATGACTGTATTTCAGTTCTAGGTCGTCCCAATTGTAGGTTTGCAATAATTGGCTTAGGATCGTTGGCTCGGAAAGAGGTAACCGCATGGTCTGACCTCGAATCAGCAATTTTGTATGACCCAACTGGTAAGTCAAATGAGGAAATTGAGAAATTAAAACTTGATTTTAGAATCCTTGTTCATTATTTACACCTGAAGGTTATCAATCTCGGTGAAACAAAGATCAATGCCTTGGATATTCCCGTTCTTTGCGATTTCAATAGTAAACTTCCGAATGATGTCAAAGATAATGATTTTTATGATAAAATAACCCCACAGGGTCTTTGTTTTGATGGTTCCCTGCCAAAAGCTAGTAAAATACCGTTCGGTAGACGATCTACAAAACACCCAACAAAAACAGACACTTTAGAGTTGATTATGACCCTTGATGAAATGTCTGAATGTCAGCTTGGAGAAGTCTCTCTCAGGGAAGGTTATCATCTCAGCGATGTACTTTTAACATCTACTCTGATCACTGGGGATGAATCATTGTGGATTGAGTACAATAAAAAAGTCCATGAAATACTTTCCTCTCGTTCAACCACTGACCCAAAACTGTCTGTAGGTAAACAAAGGGGAATAAAAACGTTAGGGGAAGATTTAAATGCTTACCTGAACAAACCTCTTACGCCAAAGTCATTCAATTCACAAATTCGAACAAAACACGATGTTTACCGATTTGCAACTATATCAATTAACACTCTTAAGTTGTTGCATCATTGTACATCTTTTTCTCCCCTTGATATTCTCGATGAGTTACACGATAAGCAAGTACTGCCCGCGAGCGCTAAAATAGATTTACAACTCATGATATGCACGGTCATCAACATGCGTCATTTAGTCTATGGTAGATGTGGCCAACAACGAGAAATGGCATCTTTCTTAACTAGACCATCTCATGATGAATTACTTGCCGCCTCTGATCAGGTATCAGTAAGGGATTTCGCACCCGCTATTTTTCGGTTTTATGCCACTCTCATGCCATGGACAATTTTTTTGGTGTATAACTACTGTTTTAATGATATTTCAACTTGGAAATACACATCTCACTTTATCAATTTGAATCCTCAAACAACTGCAAGGATACAAATACAAATGTATATGTTTCAAGATGTGATAAATTCTCTCGAACGCCAAGAATCCAATGTTATACAAAATAATATGGAGAATCAAAAAGAATGTATCCCACATTTGTCACGGGGGGATTCTGATAAATCGACCAATACAGGTTTACAACACAAAGAAAAGACTTCTGCAGAGAATTCAGATACTTTTGCAAGGTTAGACGTACTTGGAGACGCGTATTTTAGAAAAGGTGAGTTTAATAAAGCGATTCAATATCACAAAGAGAGTCTTGACATGAAGAGAACAATACATGGTAATCATCCTCATCCTAACATAGCATCTTCATTGGGGAATCTTGGTAGCGCGTACTTCAGTAAAGGTGAGTTTGATAAAGCGATTCAATATCACAATGAGAGTCTTGCCATAAAGAGAACAATACATGGTAATCATCCTCATCCTAACATAGCATCTTCATTGGGGAATCTTGGTAGCGCATACCACATTAAAGGAGAGTTTGATAAAGCGATTCAATATCACAAAGAGAGTCTTGCAATGGAGAGAACAATACATGGTAATCATCCTCATCCTGAAATAGCATCT